ATATAACAGAGGTGGCTAAAACAAGATCCACATGAAAGATGATGGTGGCTTGAACTAGGGTAAGAGTGGTAGAGTTAGTCAGAAGTGGTCAGATTCAGGACATATTTAAATGTAGAGATGTCAGAATTTGCTGTTGGGTGTGAGAGATGTTAAGGGGTTTTTGCCCTTAATAATAAGTGGTAAAATGGAGTAGCCTTTATCTAACATAGGAAAACTGTTGCTGAGGGAATTAGGTTCTGTATACAAACAGATGTTTGTGCTTGACTGACGTTTGTAGTCACTAGAGAGCACTCATAGAAGAAAGATGCATTGGAATTTGTGAAAGAGACTGAAAGTAAATATTATGTGTGGATCAAAGGGGGGCACTATGTTATTTTAAAACTTTATATTAGTAGAGAGTGTCATGCACAGTATGTTAGTTCTTAGATGTTCTCTATTAAGTAATTTGCCATAGTTTAAACAGAAATGTTTATTCTACAGTGAAACTTGAAATCCTCAGTGTTTATGATTGTCAAGCCTCTTAGTTATTAAGTATTGTTGTAAAGATACTTCTGAATATATAATTGCACCAAAGATTCTAGTATACTTCCGTTTTTGCTTTTGAGACAATACTTTATCCATGGTAATTCTGAATTTTATTTCTTGAGATAGAGATTCCTAGTTAAAATCCAGTTGGCAGAGATAGAATTCATTGAGACATGAAATTCAGTATTACATTTTTCAGTCACATAATTTATAGGCCATATGCTTCTGTGTGACTCAGTTTCTTTATCTGTAAAATGGATAAACAATAGCACCTATGTATTTTTTTGTTTTTTTCTTTTTTTTGTGTGGTACACGGGCCTCTCACTGCTGTGGCCTCTCCCGTTGCGGAGCACAGCCTCCAGACGCGCAGGCTCAGCGGCCATGGCTCACAGGCCCAGCCGCTCCGTGGCATGTGGGATCTCCCCAGACCGGGGCACAATCCCGTGTCCCCTGCATCGGCAGGCGGACTCTCAACCACTGCGCCACCAGGGAAGCCCATAGCACCTATGTTATAGGTAGTTGGCAGGGATTAAATTGGTTCATCCATGGAAATTGCTTAGAACAGTGCCTAGCATATAGTTGGTGCACAATAAATGTCAGCTTTTTTTTAATTTTTATTTATTCATTTATGTATATTTTATTGAAGTATAGTTGATATTTTTTGCTATTATTGGTGTTAAATTTATTTTTTAAATGTCTTAATATAAAATACAACTTGTTTATTGGAAAAAATAACATTTGGTAACTATCAGTTTCCTAATCTGGTATTGGAATTCCTTTGTTAACTTTTTTTTTTTCTGGTTGTCTCACAATATTTTTTTTTTTATTGGAGTATAATTGCTTTACAATGTTGCGTTAATTTCTCCTGCACAGCAAAGTGAATCAGCCATATGCATACACACATCCCCTCCCTCCTGTACCTCCTTTCCCCCCACCATGCCACCCAACTAGGCCATCACAGCACCAAGCTGAGCTCCCTGTGCTATACAGCAGGTTCCCGCCAGCTACCTGTCTTACACCTGGTAGTGTATTTATGTCAAACCTAATCTCCCAATTCATCCCACCCTCCCCTTCCCACCCTGTGTCCACATGTCCGTTCTCTACATCTGCCTCTCTATTCCTGCCCTGCAGATAGGTTCATCTGTACCATTTTTCTAGATTCCACATATATGCATTAATATGTGATATTTGTTTTTCTCTTTCTGTCTTGCTTCACTCTGTATGACAGACCCTAGGTCCATCTACATCTCTACAAATGACCCAATTTCATTTCTTTTTATGGCTGAGTAATATTCCATTGTATATATGTACCACATCTTCTTTATCCATTCATCTGTTGGTGGACATTTAGTTTGTTTCCATGTCCTGGCTATTATAAATAGTGCTGCAATGAACATCGGGGTATATGTGTCTTTTTTTTTCTTTTTTTTTTTTTTGGCTCTATTGGGTCTTCGTTGCTGCATGCGGGCTTTCTCTAGTGTGGCGAGCAAGGGCTACTCTTTGTTGCGGTATGCGGGCTTCTCATTGCAGTGGCTTCTCTTGTTGCGGAGTACAGGCTCTCGCCGTGCGGGCTTCAGTAGTTGTGGCACGCAAGCTCAGTAGTTGTGGCACACGGGCTCTAGAGCACAGGCTCAGTAGTTGTGGCACATGGGCTTAGTTGCTACACAGCACGTGGGATCTTCCCAGACCAGGGCTCGAACCCGTGTCCCCTGCATGGGCAGGCAGATTCTTAACCACTGCGCCACCAGGGAAGCCCTATATGTGTCTTTTTGAATTATGGTTTTCTCTGGGTATATGCCCAATAGTGGGATTGCTGGGTCATATGGTAATTCTATTTTTAGCTTTTTAAGGAACCAACATACTGTTCTCCACAGTGGCTGTATCAATCTACATTCCCACCAACAGTGCAAGAGGGTTCCCTTTTCTCTGCACTCTCTCTCGCATTTATTGTTTGTAGATTTTCTGATGATGGCCATTCTGACTGGTGTGAGGTGATACCTCATTGTAGTTTTTTTGTGTGTGTGTGTGTGGTATTTGGGCCTCTCATTGTTGTGGCCTCTCCCGCTGCGGAGCACAGGCTCCGGACGCACAGGCTCAGCCGCTATGGCTCACGGGCCTAGCCGCTCCGCGGCATGTGGGATCTTCCCAGACCGGGGCACGAACCCGCATCCCCTGCATCGGCAGGCGGACTCTCAACCACTGCGCCACCAGGGAAGCCCCTCATTGTAGTTTTGATTTGCATTTCTCTGATAATTAGTGCTGGTGAGCATCTTTTCATTGTCTCTTGGCCATCTGTATGTCTTCTTTGCTGAAATGTCTGTTTAGGTCTTCTGCCTATTTTTTGATTGGGTTGTTTGTTTTTTTGATATTGAGATACATGAGCTGTTTATATATTTTGGAGATTAATCCTTTGTCTGTTGCTTCGTTTGCAAATATTTTCTCCCATTCTGTGGATTGTCTTTTGTCTTGTTTATGGTTTCCTTTGCTGTGCAAAATCTTTTAAGTTTAATTAGGTCCCATTCACTTATTTTTGTTTTTATTTTCATTACACTAGGCAGTGGGTCATAAAAGATCTTTCTGTGATTTATGTCAAAGGGTGTTTTTTCCTATGTTTTCCTCTAAGAGTTTTAGTGTCTGGTCTTACATTTAGGACTTTAATCCATTTTGAGTTTATTTTTGTGTATGGTGTTAGGGAGTGTTCTAATTTCCTCAAAATACTAGCAAACAGAATCCAACAGCACATTAAAAAGATCATACAACATGATCAAGTGGGATTTATCCCAGGAATGCAAGGATTCTTCAATATACGCAAAACAATCAATGTGATACACCATATTAACAAATTAAAGAATAAAAACCATATGATCATCTCAATAGATGCAGAAAAAGCTTTTGACAAAATTCAACACTGATTTATGATAAAAACTCTCCAGAAAGTGGGCATAGAGGGAACCTACCTCAACATAATAAAGGCCATAGATGGCAAACCCACAGCAAACATCATTCTCAATGGTGAAAAACTGAAAGCTTTTCCTCTAAAATCAGGAACAAGACAAGGATATCCACTTTCACCACTATTATTCAACGTAGTATTGGAAGTCCTAGCCACAGCAGTCAGAGAAGAAAACGTAATAAAAGGAATACAAATTGGAAAAGAGGAAATAAAACTGTCACTGTTTGCTAATGACATGATACTATACATAGAAAATCCTAAAGATGCCACCAGAAAACTACTAGAACTAATCAGTGAATTTGGTAAGGTTGCAGGATACAAAATTAATGCACAGAAATCTCTGGCATTCCTATACACTAATAACAAAAGATCAGAAAGAGAAATTAAGGAAACAATCCCATTTACCATCACAACAAAAAGAATAAAATTCCTGGGAATAAACCTACCTGAGGAGGCAAAAGACCTGTACTCAGAAAACTATAAAATACTGATGAAAGAAATCAAAGATGACATAAACAGGTGGAGAAATATACCATGCTCCTGGATTGGAAGAATCAATATTGTGACAATGACTATACTACCCAAAGCAATCTACAGGTTCAGTGCAATCCCTATCAAACTACCAATGGCATTTTCCACAGAATTAGAACAAAAAAATTATACAATTTATATGGAAACACAAAAGACCCCAAATAGCCAAAGCAATCTTGAGAAAGAAAAATGGAGCTGGAGGAATCAGGCTCCCCGGCTTCAGACTATACCACAAAGCTGCAGTAATCAAGACAATATATGGTACTGGCACAAAAACAGAAATATAGATCAATGGTACAGGTAAGAAAGCCCAGAGGTAAACCCACACACCTGTGGTCACCTAATCTATGACAGAGGAGGCAAGAATATACAATGGAGACAAGACAGCCTCTTCAATAAATGGTGCTGGGAAAACTGGACAAGTACATGCAGAAGTATAGTTGATTTACAATGTTGTGTTAATTTCAGGTGTATAGCACAGTGATTCAGAGATAGATAGATAGATAGATATAGATATATATGTATACTTTTCCCTTATAGGTTATTACAAAATACTGAGTATAGTTCCCTGTGCTATAACAGTAGGTTCTTGTTTGTTATCTATTTTATATATAGTAGTGTGTAAAATGTCAGCTAGTATTAAAAGGGAAAATGGGAATGTTTGCTTCTAAGGTGATTGGATCATGTGTTCAAGTTAAACCCTTTATTCCCAAAGCTATAAATGTAGGTTTGTTGCTTTTTTATCCACAGTACATATTTTGATAATGCTGTTTTGAATATAATGAGATTTTTTATTCTTGGTTTTTAAGGAAACTTTAACAAAATATTTCATACATAATCTAAATTGTTCTTTTTCTTCTTACATGTGGAGATACTAGCTGAAAATTTTTTTAGTTGCAAACTTTTCTTATGTGCTACTGTAACATTTATTTATTAGCACTTTGATTTTCAAAACATGTTTTAACCCTAAATTATGATTTTGTCATTGCAGGCAAGAAGACAACAAGACCCTAGTCCTGGATCCAGTTTAGGTGGTGGTGATGACCTCAAACTTCGCTAATTAGTGGCACAAAAGATGTGCCCCCCCCCCCGCATCTTTACATATTCATTTCTAGTCGGCAGAAATAATTGACCAGAAACTGTGATAACTGGAGGTACTATGATCTACTTCTCAACCTTAGGCAGTAACAAGACATCACAACTGCCATGGTTTTGCACTATGATATATAATACCTGCATTTCTAATTTTGTATGCATGTAGCCAGTAATTATTTGAAATTTTCTTCTATGCAAGCTTACCTTGTTGACATTATTTTAGTGAGTTGAAACTATCCACTTGTAAAGCTCTTTTTTTCCACCATTTTAATTTAAAAGTTCATGTCATTTTAGAACAGGTCAAGAAATTAAAATTTTTATCAGAGGGTTTTTTCCCCTAATCAGTCGCTCTGTTTTTTTTTTTTTTTAATTTTAGATGTGTTGGTTATACAGCTTCATTTTAGATAAATGTTCTTGGTTTTTTTGTTTTGTTTCCCGTGTTTCCTTCTGTGTTTTTATAGTCTATGGCATTTTAAAACTGCTGATGGTTTGCATTATTTACAAGCTAAAAACCTAGTAGCATAGAGCTGTCTGCCACACCTTCTAACACAAAGTTTACAGTTGTTAAAGTTGCAGTATCCTTTTAAATGTTGATAATCAGCTCCTTTTCTTTCCTTTTTAAACATAAAAAATTTTAATTGGTATTAACTCTGGTCTGCCCCAGATCTGTTTTAGATTCTGTTCTGTATTCATGAGTTTGTGTGGAGATATTCTCCATAGATGATAATATTCTACTGAAATGCCTAAAGAAGTCACAGGCTGGCTTCTGTTTTATTCAGGGATTTTTTTTTTTTTTAAGTCAATCAGAAAAGGGATACTGGAGCTTCTTCATGTATGTAACAGCATATTAAACTGGAGACAGTGATGAATCAGCTACAAAGGTAATGTTGTATTAAAATCATGTTTAAGATAGCTGCTTTTATGTGTATTTTATAATGCATGCTTTTGTAAAAACAATTCTAGGTAATGAAAGATTAGTCTTAGAAAATGTACATCTGTGCAGAGGATACATTTTCTTCCATTAATTATTCTGGAAAAAAATTCACAGGTTATATATATGGTATTTTCCAAAAGGACTATTAATAGAACCTTTTGAGATGAATTAGTATAAGAATATTTTTTAAATAGGCTCACTATCAAATTGATTGCAACTTTTTTTTTTTTAATACAAGACTGGAAAAAAGTGCTAAGTCATTTGGCACCTCCTTACAAATATTTTTCATGGTCACATTCATTAAATGTTACTACATTTCTGAATTTTTGCAAAAATGTATTTTATCAAAATAGAATGGCATTATTTTAAAGAGTTTGAAAAACTGACATGGTCAATTCAGAAAATGAACTGAAGTCTGAATAAGGTCATTGCATTTAAAACATATATGTATACTTGACTGATAAGGGAGGTGTGACTTTCATTGTATATAGGTCTTATAATTCATAAACATATCCTGTATCTCAGAATAAAAATATTTGTTATATATTTGAAGTCATGCATGGTAAAGGAGTGTGTTTAAATTGTTATAAACAATAATGCATCATAAAAGACCATGCTGATCTTGTGTAACTAAGTACTATGAATGAATTTGGTTGGTATTTGGTGTTGTGCAGCTCACATGTTTACACACTCAGTGCCCTAATTTCCCCTGAGGGAATCACCTTTTAAGTGGTCCTTACAGTGCTGTTTTAAGGTTACTTTATCACAGAGCTCCTTGGTTTTTGACTTCTGCACTTAAATTTTTTCTTTTCTAATAACATGATGATGGCACATTTCTCTCTATTGTTTCTAGCTAAGGGCTTTCAGTCCACCAGTAACTAAGATCAAATGTTATTAAATGTTCATGTTGCCATCCTTCTGTACATACTGTCATTTAGCATTGTGCTGCTTCCATCTGTCTTAATGCTGGCATTAAGATCATGAGCCCTTTTTCTCCAAAAGTGCAGGCTTTGAAAACTGCTTTTTTTTAAGTTATTGGTACAATTTGATATTTTTCCATAATCTATATTTAAACAAAATTACATCATTGCATCATCTTTTCTAAATTCATCCTCATTAAAACTTGCCTTAAGCTACCAGATTGCTTTTGCCACCATTAGCCATATTGTGTGTTTGTATGTTTAATTTACTTTCACAATAAACTTCTGTGTAGTGAACTTCTGGGTTTTGGCTCTTTATTAACATAATCCAGCAATTTCTGTTCTGGTGTTCATTATGACATAAAAATTGATTTTGTTTCTGAGCTGTTCTTGCATTCCGCTTTTTAACCATAAAATAAAAACCACCACCAACAGCAGTGGCATCTAGTGGTCATTTCTGTTAATTCCGAAGAAAACCTTTAATGTATATAACACAAAGAATACTAATTTCCCAGTGTATATTATAGTTTTCAAAAAATCTGCCTTGATTTACCCATCCTATGAAGTATGACTATAGAGTAGTGACCTTGGAGGGAAGGAAGAATTCCAAAAATTACACATCCAAAATAACTACCATCTTTCAAACTATTCATTTTAGGAATATACACTCAATTTGATTGTGCTGGTGTCATTTCAGACATTCTTAGGACTTTGCTTGGCATTTTCCTACATCAGAAAATTAAGCCTTTTACTCTAGAAGTATGTCCTAAGCTTGATCCATAAGGAAAAATTTACTTATTCACTACCAGACTTATTGCAAATAACAAATACCTTTAAATGCTGAATTGGTACCATGAAGCAAAATTCCAAAGAATAAGATTCATACTATGAGGGTTAATTTCAAAAACTATTTGAGCAGTAGCATCATGGTTTCAATAATTATATCACCTCTAGAAACAGGTATTTGGATATGTTAGTTGGGGGCTACCTGGAAAAAGAAATCTCTTACTTGATGTATGCCTCATTTGGCACTGGGGAGCTTTTTCAAGCTATAAGCCATTGTGTGGATTATCCATTGCTACATAACACATTGCCCCCAAATTTAGCAGCTTAAAACAGTAAACATCATCCCACAGTTTCTGTGGGTCAGAAATCTGGAAGAAGCTAAGCCCAGTGGTCTGATCCAGGGTCTCTCCTGAAGTTAGAGTCAGATTGTCAACCTGAGCTATCGTCATCTCAAGGCTTAATTGTGGCTGAAGGATCCACTTCGAAGCCCACTCATGTGGCCATTGACTGGCCTCAGTTTCTCACAGGCCATTGGGTGTAAGCCCTTGATTCCTTGGTAGGTGCTGGGGATGAAGAACTCCTTCCTTGGCACGTGGGTGTCTCCATAGGGCAGCTCATGATTTGGCAGCTGGCTTTCCCAGAGCAAGTGATCCAAGGAAGAGTGCATGCCTAAGATGAAAGCCACATCTTTTTTTTTTTTTTTTGGCTGCGTTGGGTCTTTGTTGCTGCATGCGGACTTCCTCTAGCTGTGGCGAGCGGGGCTTTTCCGTTGTGGTGCGCGGGCTTCTCATTGCAGTAGCTTCTCTTGTTTTGGAACTCGGGCTCTAGGCGCACGGGCTTCAGTAGTTGCAGCACGTGGACTCAGTAGTTGTGGCTCACAGGCTAGAGCGCAGGCTCAGTAGTCATGGCACACAGGCTTAGTTGCCCTAAAGAGACACTGTCTCTGCCCTCACGGAACCTACAATCTGGCTCAAAACCTAAACAAAAGCAGTATTGTTTTAAGTTGTACTGGAAGTTGTGGCTGTTACGGGGCACATCTAACTTGGTCTGGGTGCTCAAGAAGCCATGTTCAAGTGTCTGGACAATTCCCTAGGGCAAGCAGGAAGCCACTGAGGGGTTGGGAGTTTGAGGGAATGGGTGGTTGATAAAGCTCGTTTTGGTTGATAGAACAAGACTAGAAGCAGCAAGTCAGTCCCGCTGATCATATGGTGACCCAGTAGGGAGATTAAGGGTAGTTTAGTGGGCATGGAAACACTTCAAGCTGGAGAAAAAAGTACAGGAGACATAACTGGCAATTTTCCCCTGTTTCTCTTATCTGGATAGGCTGGTTGTGTTGCCTAAAACCCCCCAAATTTTATTGGCTTAAAGACTTATCTCTTATTTGTTAAATACCCATCAGTGATTGACCTAGGCTGACAGAGCCATCGCTGGAACATTGCCAGCCATGTGACAGAGCCAAGAAAATAGTGTAATGAAAGGGGCACTGACTTTTAAAACTGTCACCTGAAATTGACACATGAGACTTCTGTTTACATTTCATTGGACCTAGCAAATCACAAGGCCATGCCCAGCTTCATCTGGGCAGAAAACCACAATCCTACCTTTTGCCCAGGAAAGAGAATATTTGTGAATAGCTCCAGTGACTATCACAGGCCACCCTTTGAATTATTAAATATTTAATTTTACTCTCTTGCCCTCAACAAAATATATCTACCATGGGAGACAACCTAAAAGTCCCAGCTGATCAGGTATTGAACTAAAATTCTGTGATATGTGGTTATCTGCCCCCACAGCCAATATACAGTGGTGAAATAGGGACAGGAAAACTGCAGGAAACACTTCCATTCAGAAAGGGAAGAATCAAGTCATTGGTCTTTTATGAAATGACAGTTATGAAATGTCATTAGGGAAAACATTTGAAGACCCCCTACTCTGAGAGGGGAGTGTTCTTTGTAAGACTGATTGGGAGAGACTCCCCAATTCATCGCTTTCCATGACCCATGGCCCCATCCCTGGTTTTTTTTGTTTTTTACCTTGATAAATACAAGCAATTAGTAATCATGGTACTAAGATTCTGCTTTTGAAGCTCTTCAGCTAGGGCTTCAAACTTGGTACATTTCCTGCCTCCTAAATTACCACATGTGACAGTTTTAACAAAAGGATTAGCATCCTTCCAGCCTCCAGTGTCAGTTCCCCAAGCTACTTTCCTATCTTGACACCACCATCCGTCCAGCTACCCAAAGCTGGAAACCTGTGGGGGGTTTTTTTTGGTTTTTTTTTTGCAGTACGCGGGCCTCTCACCGCTGCGGCCTCCCCCGTCGCGGAGCACAGGCGGAGCACCGGCGGAGCACAGGCTCCGACGCGCAGGCCCAGCAGCCATGGCCCATGAGCCCAAACGCTCTGCGGCATGTGGGATCCTCCTGGACCGGGGCACGAACCCGCGTCCCCTGAATTGGCAGGCGGACCCCCAACCACTGCGCCACCAGCGAAGCCCTGGAAACCTGTGTTTTTATCCCTGACTCTTTTTCTCTGTCATCGTCTACATCCAATCTGTAGATCCTGCCAATGGATTCCATCAGTTCTCTGTCACTACTAGATTTTTTTTTTTTTAATTAATAGCTCTGTAGGTTTTTAAAAAAACAATTCTTTTTATTTTTTTATTTTTTTATTTTTTTTTAAAGAGAAAACAGAATTTTATTAACTGAGAAAAATACAGAGTAACACAGAACAATTATAAGATTACGTGTAAATACTAAATTCTCCTATTTAAAAAACAGAATCATAGACTGGATTAAAAAGACAAAATCCACACCTATGAATCTTGTTTTAAGAAAAACATTTAAAGAAAAGGGAGATAGAATAATTTAAAAGCCTGGCTCAGATAAATCATGCTTACACAAAAGCAAGAAGAGTAGGTCCCAGCTTGACTGAATAAGTTACGTTCATCCCAGGATTCCTGCATATCTGGGCATG